GCTGTTCTGTTCCAGTCAGTTACTCAAAGGAGAAATTAAGTTGATCCTGGAATCAACCTCCTCTGAGGAGTTTCCCTGGCTCATGGCATATGCGGATCTGACCACTCTTATTGCTGCATGAGGCTGGAGTGGTTTGTTCTGGCTTCCATGAAGCGCCCGATGTCATCACGAGGGCTCATGTACAAGCCAGTGCGCTGCTGCCCTCCTACCCAGCTCCCTTTGGCTATAGTTGCTCTTCTGCTCTCATAGTCTCAAATGTCCACTAGAAAAAAATGCTAATGACATTGGGGAACTCCTAGCCTGTTAGGTGTCCAGTACCAGTTCATGTTCTCTAAAATCCAGGAATGAAGTTTAGGAACAATGGAGGTTGAGGGCAGAATATATTTATTGCAAGAAAGAAAGCTTCTATCTGAGAGAGAGACAGTAGGGGTCCCAAATGGGTTGTCAAGGACCCTGTGTTTTCTAGGGATTTTTAGAGAGTAAATCCTTGAAGCAAGGCAAGCCCAAGGTGGGAAACATGGGAAATCCCAAGGTGGACATGAGGTGGGCAAAACTATGGTCAGCCAGTAAGATTACAAGTGTCATTTCTCAGGTAAAATTGATTAGATTGGGATCGAATAGGGAAGCGAGTCACATAGGAAGTGGGCATGAATGCAGAGCAGGGGCTTTCCTGTAGGGGCTGGGTTAGTGGTTCTTCCTGCTTTCTCAAGGTGATAGAAACCTACTGAGGATACCAATCCCGGCTGTTTATCCTTAGGAAGTGTGTGGGTGCATCTGCTTTATCTTTTGTCTTGAGGTCTGGCCCACGGCGGAGGTGCCTCTCTCTCCTACAGTTGCAAGGTGTCTTGTCTTCGGGGCTGGTTCCTTTGAGGGTCTTGCCCTGTCTGACTACTTCTAATATTTTATTTAACTTAGTTGTGATAAACAACATTTTATTGTTATAAGGGGTTGTGTGTAGTGTTGAGAGAGGCAGAAGAATAAATTTGTCAAAAAGACAAAATAATAATACTGGAAGAAAGTGTGTGAAACTTCCACGCAGATGTCAGGGTAAGAAAACACAGACAACATTCAGGGCACAAAGCCCCAGTGGAGCAGTTATGCTGCTTACAGGACTAGAACCCCCACAAAGGCCCCGATAGTCACTGTGTAGAATTTGGCTTTTGCTCTGGGTATTTCTGCAGCCATGGTCATTGTAGGGGGTTAGGATTGAGCAAAGGAAGATAGTTTGTAGATTAGTTGCTCTGGAATTACTTTGAATGTTGGGCTAAGAATAGATTGAGGGAGGAAAAAACATCAATTATTATGCTTCTGTGATGGTTCAGGGAGGGGTGACAGGGAGTAGACCAAGTTTGGGATGTGGTTTTGAGAGCATGGCAGACCAATTAATACAATGGGAGGACTGAAAAGAAAGAAGGTATTGAGGATGATCTCCAAATGACCCAAATGATTGCTTGGCTGAGCAAGACTGGACTGGAGGAGGAGCAGGGTGGGAAGGGACATTCATCTTTTGCTTTCTTTCTTGTTACATTCAAGATATCCACAGACATGAAGTGTATCCGGAGCAGGCAGTAAATCACAGCTACTTGAGTTAAGGTACAGCTTGGAGTCTTTGCCTCTACAAATGTGCTATAGAATTTTAAATAATAATTAAGTGTAATTTTATTCTCATGCAATTAAAGAAAGATACGGTTGAAAGAAAAGAAAAAAAAGATCTTTTTAACATTCAGAAAACTTGAAAGGAGGCCAATGTTAATAACCTTCAATTTAACATTAGATTCTTCTATTATTAATGCAAAATTTAAAAATCATCATAAAAACTAAATAGTCATTAGAAATCACCTTGGGCTGGGAGCTGGAAGCATAATTTTTTACTTCAATAGATTTTAAATAAATATTTAATGCTGAGAATAGAGACACAGAAAGTCAGTGGGAAATTTGTATGACTCACAACGCAGGCATGGAAGGTTTTTAAACCAAATTGAAACCTTTCATAATAAAAGTTCTTTGATTTTTTTTCTATAAGTTTTGAAGTCAAAGCAATTCCTAGAAATAATCTCATTAAACTGTGGTGAGACTAGGCAGGACACATAATATTAGTTCTAATTTATAGATCCGGCTGTGGAGAAAGAA